GGGTTGTCTCTCCCGTCCCCGTCACCTCCCTCGCGCCGCCCCTCCCACACACACACACACACACACAACGCCGCAGCGGAGGAACTTCTCGCGCTTGCCGTGATTGGGGGAGCTGAGGCCTCGGCCCCGGGGGGATGAGGCGACTCGCCCGTCGCGCCTCTCCCGCCCTCGCGGGGAAGAAGCTCTGGGGGACGAGGTGCGTCTCCAGTGATGGGGACGCCGCGCTAAACCAGAAGGAGCTGCGGCAACTCGTTAAGGTGCTCGAGGATGACCCAAAGCTCTTGATTGATTTGGTTGGACGGCTAGACGCACAGAGCAGGCGGCGCCTGGTTGTGGCCGGGGGGGCCATGGAGTGGTTTGGGAAAGAGAGTGCCGCGTCGGAGGTGGAGCGGGCGGATGCCGACAAGGACCTCCGCATCTCCCCCAAGGACTTTGATCATTGGATAGAGAGCGCTTTGCGTAGACGACTACGCGGGAGCTCGCCGCAGCAGCCAGACAACCCCGCCGCGGCTGGGGAGGAGATGCAGGTGCCGTTCCTCACCTTGGTGTGGATAGCATTTGGGGCAGGCCTACCATTTGTGGGGTTTGGTTTCCTTGATAATGCCATAATGATACTCGCAGGAGACGCAATCGACAGCACCCTTGGACTTTATCTCAACTGCTCCGTGATGGCGTGTGCCGCTATGGGCAACATCTTCTCGGGGGTTCTGGGAATGCAGGTCCACGGCGTGATTGACAAGGCCGTGCAGAAGTTGAACTTCAACACCCCTGTTCTGACGGAGGGCCAAATGAAGGGTCAGCGGGTGTTTTTGGCCGGCCACATTGGCGGAACTTTGGGCATCATGACAGGTTTGTTTCTTGGCATGTTTCCGCTGCTGTTGCTCGACAGCGGTGAGGGCAAGGCCGACCACGCCTTGTTCCACCGCTGGGACAAGGATGGCAACGGATACCTGGAGATGATAGAGCTCAAGAAGGAGCTGGCGAACCTTGGCCTGTCAGAAAGCGCCGCCGAGCTGCTTATGGAAAAGTACGGACGGGACGGTCGGCTCGACTTCAAACAGTTTCAGAAAATACGCAATGATGTACGAAAAGGCGAGACCGTCTTTGCATGATTCTTTCAACCGGCGCCAGCTTGCATGTTTTTTTTTTTTGTATGTGGCTAAATAATGAGAATGAACAGAACATGGGGTGGCAACGGCGCGAAGAGGGGTGTGCGCCGCCCAAACATTGCTGCCCGCTTCCGCGAAGTTGCCATGCAGCACGCACACATCCCCACACACGCACGTACGATTTTCTTCTTTCTTTTTATTTCCCTCTTCTTCCCTTTTGGCGTTCTTTTCTATTCCGGTTGGCGGTCAGCGCTAAAAGCAAGCGACGAGACCAGTGAGCATTTAGGCGGGGCTATGTTTGACAGCTGGGCTTCTGCTGAGGCGAACGAGCGTTGTGATGAAAGGAGACACCTGAGAGATCATGGGCTTTTATATGATGCCCGCACCACAACTAGTGTGCAGGAGATGCGGAAGTCATTGCTGGAGAGTTGCTTCCCAGGCGACGGTGTTGGCTCGGGCTGTCTGAGTCTACTCACAACGGCAGTCACACCCTCCATGCTTGCGCTGCCACTGGCGTTCTCCGTTGGTGGCCTGACTTTTGCCATTGCATGCATAACTTTTTGCATCATTATAACTATCATGTCTGTAAGAATTCTTGCGCATGCATCTGCCTCAGCTGCGTCGGACGACTACGAGTCCGTGGCCGGGTTTTTCTTCGGGGCAAAGGGGCGATGGATCGCGCGGTCCATATTGTTTTTGTACAACTTTGGGAGTGCGGTGGTGTACCTGTGCTTTGTGAAGGACGTCGTTACGAGCATCATCGCTGTGAAGGGCTCGTTTCTCCCAACATGGCTGCAGGGGAACCTGGGCGGCTTCCTTGCCCTCGCGTTTATTGTGGCGTGCGTGACGCCGTTTACGTTTAACTCCCGTCTGGCATCGCTTCGAACAATGGGGTTTGCCAGCAATATTCTGACCACGTTTATTGTGCTGTCCATCGTATATCGGTTTCTTGTCCCATTGACGCCGCGCAGAGAGCTGGGGCCTCCGCTGCAGGGCGACGTGAAAGCGGCCCACGGAGATCCCGCATGGTGGGAACTATTGCTGTCGTACCTCTTCACGGCCTCCATCTTTGTGTTCTCCTACGAAGTGCAATCCAACGTCATGGGCGTCATCAGGGACCTTGACGACCGCACGGGTGAATCTCTTTTGGTCTGCATTTGCATGGCTCTTGCCATGGCGACGACGCTTTATCTCACGCTAGGCATCTTTGGGAGTCTCTCTTTCCCCCACATGACACAGGGAGATATTTTAGATCTGTACGATATTCAGCGAGATGATCTCATGTTTCTTTGTCAAGTTTTCTGTTGTTTTAGCGCGGCAACTTCTTACGTTTTTGGCGTCTTCCCGTGTCGCTTCGCGGTTTTTATGCTCCTCTCGGATGGAACAACGTCAAAGGTGCCAAAGCAGTCTCGTGTGCGCATAGGCGTCGCACTGGCGATTGCTGGCACGGGCTGCGCCGTTCTTCTGCCAGACGTGGCAAAAGTGGTGGCGTTGCTCGGGGCACTGTTCAGCTCAACGCTTTCAATGACGCTGCCAGCGCTCTTTGCATTGAAAATGCGGTGGAGTGGGACCTACCTCACCTCTGCGCTGGACGGCTTTCTTTCTTGGACCCTGTTGCTTCTTGGCGTCTTTGTGTCAATTGGGGGCTCGTTGGTGGCTGTAATGGACGTGCTCGGCCTCGTGGACCTTGTCCGGGGCTGACGCTGTCGTTGCGGCGGCGACTGCAGCAAAGAACCTCCAGTGCACGGCCGCAGCTCCATGAAGAGCGTGAGTAGAATGAGTAACGAAACAACTGACTACGGTTGTGGGGTGGCGGGTAACTGATATGTGAAAAAAACGGACAATACATATGTAGGTGCGTGTGTGCGTGTATATATATATATATTTATAGGTATCACGTGTTATCTTTGCATTCTGTTTTCTGCTGGTCATATGGGGCTGTTGTTGTTGTTGTTTTTGTGTATTATGAATCCCTTTTCCCTCGCCGTCGCTCTCGCGCAGGGCTAGTGTGTGGGTCTCGTATAGGCTTCCAGTTACTTCCGTCGTGGTGTATGCTATGCGAAGTTTTAGAGCGCATTGTGATGCAAATCCTGCGGCGGGCGCGTGTCCCGTTAACGGCAAGGCGGATCTCTGATGCTCTGGGCGGCGTCGTGTCTGCCGACAACATCGCCGCGGTCTGCCTGAAGCTGCTGGCGGACGGTCTCATGGTGAAGTGGGGCGACGACGCCTACGTTCCGAAGTCCATGACCCGTATCGTGCCCCGCAATCTCCTCATCACGGAGGAATATCAGGCGCTTGGCATGACACTTCTCCGCGTCGCTGAGAAGACGCTGGTGCACTACATTCCGCAGGAGGCGGAGCACCGTTTTTTTGAGGTCCGCAAGTCGATGATTAGCGACAAGGCCGGTCTTGGCCTCTTCCTGCGCTCCTCAAGGGCGCTGCCGCAGGGCGCCGTGGTGTGTGAGTACGTTGGTCGCGTGCTCCACCGCCCGCCGAAGAACTCCCATCAGGGCGTCTACGTTGTGAAGCTGCGAACGGCGCCCATCTACGTGGATGGGGTGGACGAGAACGGCGACCACCTCTCGCTGGCGACCTTCATCAACGACAACGGCCCCGCCGCCGCCAATGTCGAGATGCGGGAATACGATATGCACTCCGGCCGCGTGTTTGTTGTCGCGAGCCGGGACCTTTTCCCGGGCGAGGAGGTTTTGTGCACGTACGGTTCGGGTTACTGGGGCTTCGCCTCCTACGACGAGATTCTGCGCAACGGGCATGGCGCGTCCCGCAAGCGAAGTCGCCACGGCGACGACGACCCAACCGGGGACGAGGAGGACGACTTTGGGGATTTCGTCTTCCCCTGCAGGCGCTGCGGGGAGCAGATGCCTCGGCGGCTGATGCCGCTGCACCACCGCACCTGCGGGGACCACTTGGTCTACCAAAAGTTGCTCCACCTGAACTGTCTGCCCTTCAACGACTACACCGCAATGGAAAACAGGAGCAAAGTGCTGCCGGCGGGGCGGGTACGGGCGCTGCGGCGGGCGAAGCACTTCGTGGACATGGGGGACCCACAGACTTTTGCTCTTTCCCACGAGGATGTCGTGGGCGACCTCACCTTCTCATGGTCTGCTGCCTAGCAACGCCACCCCTGCGTGCGCCGCTCTGCACCTTTTCTTTTTGTCTGCTTGTTTGCACGCATGCACGTGTGTGGGGCTGTGGGGGTGAGACGCTTGTCAAGGGGAGGAAATCTTCAGCAGCGCCACAAAACCACACACACACACACACACACACGTAGACGCAGGTAAGAAGGAGGGAAGAGACGCGTGACGAAAAAAAAAAGAAGGAATAAACGCGAGGGAAGACGACGACGACGACTACTACTACTGCTGCTGCTGCTGCTGCTTCAGCCCGACCTTCTGTGCCCTCTCCCTCTCTCACACACGCACGCACGTATGCACTTGCAGTTGCAAACGCCCAAGGATGAAGTGTGTGGTTCTTTTATTTCTTTCCTCGCTCTCTCACTCTTTTTTTTTTGTGCTTCCAAGAAGGGGAACAAAGGGGGAATTGGCATCTCCAGTTGACGACACACAGCTGAGCGTCTCGCGCCAAGACAACGGCAGCGAAGGGAAGGCAAGGGGGAAGTCTGACGTGAATAAAAAGAAGGAAGGGGGCCACATATACGAGGGTCGGAAGGGGATGCAACAGGGCACGCGAGGCGTCGGTGCTGCGGCGCTAACGTACGTGCGGAGGGAGGCTGCGAGGGTGCTTGGCGAAAAGGGGGGGTACAGCGCTGGCGTGATGAAGACCGTGGAGTTTACACCGGACAAGGTCGTGGAGAAAAAAGACGGGGTGCTGAGCTTTTCTTGGGCCGTACGCTACGGCGTGCTGAATGGCTTCAAATCCGCCCACGGCGGTGCCTTGTCAACTCTCGCGGACGCATTCACGCGGGTGCACTTGGGCGCCGTCACGACAAGCGCAAAGCTCACCTCAGTAAGCTTTGAGATCAGTTTCCTCACCCCCATTGCCGAGAATGCGGAGTGCACCTGTCTGACGCGGCTCGTGAGTCTGGACGTCGGCAACCTTGCGTTCATGGACTTCTCCTTCGAGGACGAAAAGTCCGGGCAGGTGTTTGCCCGCGGCACCCACGTGCTCTCTTGGTGCGGGTGACGGAGTTTTTGCATAGCGAGTGTGTTTCTGTGGCGCTGCGCTGACATTGACGCAGGACTGTGTTCCGCGCCACCGTGCGAGGGTGTAGTTTTTTTTTCTTTTTTTTTCTTTGCTATTATCTTTCTATTTTTCTCTTTTTTTCCCTTTGCACACACACACACACATATATATATATATATGCATATAAGTTTGTATAGTGTTTGTCTGGGCAGAAGGGATGTGTGATACGGAGCTAAGCGACCTGGTGAAAAAGTTCCAGGCCATTCAGCGACAGGAGGTCCCCAATCAGATTGGCGAGCGTAACGTAGTCGAGATCATCAATGTCCTGCGAGAAAAGAAAATGGTTGACCTCCTATACACCCTCGATGGCAAGGAGTACCTCACGTGGGACCAGCTGCGGCGCGAGGTCGTTGACGAAATTGTCGTCAACGGTGGGCGGATGAATGTGGTCGACCTGCCTGGATGTCTGAACGTGCACGTCACCTACATCGAGCGCGTGCTCCCAGAGGTGCTCGAGGACCCTAGCCTCCGCATCGAAAGCGGGGAGTTTATGACCGACGAGTACTTGGACTCAACCATTCAGGCTGCGGCTGAAGCGTTGAATGAGCAGGGATTTCTTGACATCGCGGAATTCGCAAAGTCCCATCGGTTTAGCTCCATTTTTGCACACGACCTCCTCATGAGGGCGGTGGAGTCGCGGAGGCTACGTGCGGTGGCCGAGGGAAATGCCATCTACACGAAGCAGTTCGTGCACTCGCAAAGGGTTATCTTGCGGGCAGGTCTTATGGCCGCGACGCGGCCAGTGAACCTGGCAGCATTCTTCGCGCGGCACAATCTCTTTCTGCCACTTATGGATCCCGTCGTCGACGCCGTGCGTGATGAGCTCCCCGGCAAAGTCGAGGGAAGAGTTTACGTTCCAACTTGCTTTGAAGTCGCTCGTGCAGAGCAAGTTGAAAACGTTTATTTCTCCAACGGCTTCATTGACTACGCACTATTGCACCAACACGGCATTCCGCAGGCGAAAGAATTCCTCCTCGGCAAGTACAACCCTGCCCTGGGAGGGAACGCAGCCGCAGCAACTGGCGCGGAACCGCGGAAGCGGCGAGGCCGTCGCAACCAGAACACCGCGGCCCCCGTGGAATTGGCGCCGGTGGCTCGTACTGAAAGACACCCGAACGCGGGCCACGCCCTTTCCAGTTGTTTCGTCTCCGATCGCTTTCTCGCCAATCTCATTGCCCTTGAGGATCTTACGCAGGGTGACACTCTAGCGCTGGACCTTGCGCTTCACTTGCCATCCGCCGTCGATTTTGCGCAGGACTCCAATACACTATTGGGGCGGCTGCGTGAGCTGCATCCCATTATTAATTTTTGTGTTGTTCTGGACGGGGGCGTGCTTGTTCATGGATCGGCCTTGGATAAAGTGAAGGCGCGGCTGCGTGCTGTCTTTGAGGAGAGGCTCAAGCAAGGGGGAGACAAGAGACCCAGAAAAGCCTCAGAGCGTACTGTTTTTGGAGACGAGCAAGAACAAACGTTTCTGCGTGTGCTGGCCGAGGTGACGGGCCTCTCCTTGCAGGAGTACTCACAGGCTCTTGAGGACCTTTCGTCTCAATGGAAGGATGCGGCGAGGGGCATCTATGATGAGTTGGTGGCCGCTGTGGAACAGAACGCAGCTGTGGACCTGAAGCGGATGCGTTCCAGGCTTCAGCTCTCACTAGGCTCAGCCTGGGTGGAACTGTTTGTGGCCTCCAAGGGAGTCGCGTGGTGCTCGTCGCAGCTAGATGAAGTGGCAGCTACAGCCATTAATCGGCATGTGTTGAACACCCGTGCCCTTCCAATGGTGCGTGACGTTCTTCTTAACGAGAGTCTGGACGCGGCCGAGATGTTTGCGCGTGTTTCTGAGGTTTTGACGCCGGAACAACCCACTGTTGCCGTATTCCAAAAGGCGTTGCGGGCTTTTCCAGAAAAGCGGCGTCCGGCGCTGTTGCCCATGGTAGAGGCTGTCAATGGCAAGTCGGTAGGGAGCTTTGTAAGCCTTCTGCAGGAAATGTGCACCACCGGCCAAATCGCCATTTCCTCCTTCCACCAGCCGAATAAAAAGGTGGAGCGGGAAACACTGGCGGCGGTGAAGAAAGAGCTGCGGGAGCGAGTCGAAAATGGCACCTTTGGTGCCGGTGCGGCCCACGATGGTGTTCTCTTTGCATTAATTTGTAGCCTCCTCCTTCACTCGCAATTCCGCGTTCACGTGGAGCTTCCTGGGCGCGCGGTGGGAAGTGTGGTCTCGCTTCTCGTGAAGGAGGTGGCGGCGCTCAGCGGGGTTCTTCGGGACGCTCACGAGCTCATCATGGGTGCATTTGGCGGGAAGGAGCTGAGCGCCGAGTCCCTCGTGCGGCTTGAGGAGCTCCGCATGTTGTCACTGGAGGAGGTGTAGGCGGCGCCATGATGATTTGCATTCCCTGGTTTTTAGTCTCTTTGGCTCCGTTGTTGTCTCTTTTACTTCCGCAGGGAATTCTGTTTGTCCTTTTTCTTGGAACTGCTGCTGCTGCTGATGGTTGCTTCCACCACCCTACACTGCGTTCCTCTTTTATTTTGTTTATGCTTTTTTTTTTGCTTCCTGTTTTTTGTCTTCCTTCCATTCTTGGCTCTTTGCCGCACTCCACCGCGCTTCTTATTCTTCTTCAGCCATGCAACGCTCTCTAGTCGCCTGTAATACGTGGCGCCTACACGTGTCTAGCAGGCAAACGGTGACGGAAATGTATGATGCCCTTGTCCAAAAAGGGACGTTGAGGCATGACGCGAAGCAGCGGGAAATGGCGCAGGCGTGCACGCCGCTCTTAAACTACATCCACTCGCTGGGGACGGCGGGTTTGGCTACCAGCGGCCCTGCCTCACCGGGCCACACCGCAGTTAGGCTTACGGACGCTATAAATGAAAAACTCCGACGCGTGCGCTCTTGGGCTCGGCGGCGTGCATTTTCCGACCGAGTGACGCAGGACTTGGCTCTCCACTGGCCAGAGAATATGGGTGTTGAGCGTAAAACTGGTATTTACATGTGGGGAAGCGTTGGCATCGGCAAGACTGTGATTTTGGACCTCTTTGAGCTGAGCGAAACGCCCGGATGGAGGAAGCGTCGGGCGCACCTGCACTCCTTCATGTCGGATATTGTCATTAGGCTCCACAGGGCAGAGGCGGCGGCGCCGAGGAACCGGAAGTTGTCGCCCATCAACTGCGTCGTGGAAGAAGTGCTGCGCGAGTCTCCAATTCTCTGCCTCGACGAGTTTCAGACATTTGATGTGACGCATGCGGCACTATTAGCGGCGTTTTTTTCCCGTGCTCTGCCGCGCGGGTTGATTCTCTTCACGACGAGTAATCGTCCACCGCATGAGTTAACCCACATCTCAGCTGCATTTGAGCACTTCCTCCCGCTTCTGTGTTGCCACTGCGACGTGGTTCACTGTGGCGGCATTAAGGACTACCGCGAGAGCGCCTCACGCAGCTGTCACGACGTGGTATTCCTTTACCCAAACACCAAGGACAACGCGAAGCGGCTCATTCAACGGGTGGAACGGGGTTTCACAGGCAGCTGGGCGTGGGAGCAGGGATCAACTATATGGCTCTACGGACGAGAACTTGTCGTGCCGTTCCATTGTGGAGGTGTGGCGCTGTTTGACTTTGCACATATCTGCGGCCTCCTCGGCCCCCCCGACTTCCAGTGCATCGCCGAATCGTTTCACACCGTCGTCATCCTGAACGTCCCGCACATTGCTGCTGTGAGCAAGAACGCCGCACAGCAGTTTGTTGTTCTAGTTGATGAGTTGTACCAGCACAACGTGAAACTGCTCTTTACAAGCGAGGTGCCGTGGGAGCGGCTCGTCGACGCCACTACAGCCGTTGGCGGTGGCAGCGGTGCGGACCTCTGCTACAGCGAAGGTGAAGACGAGCGCAGCGGTTACAATGCCCACTACGAGTTTCGCAACGCAGAAGAAGTGTTGAGTTTCCATCGCATTTCCAGTCGGCTGAAGGAGATGGGTTGCAAACACTACCTGCTGCGGGACCACAGTCAGTTCTTCATATCGGACTACAATCTTGCGGTTTTGGTGGAGTGAGCGGGGGAGGGGCTTTCCAAAAAGAAAAACG